GTTGCTGGTTCCCGAAATGACACACATGGTCTCAATATTGAAGCTCCTGCAGTTGATGTCATCATAATACTTTGCACGCCCTTACTCCAACTGACTGCAGCTGCTGGGCCGTTGACGTGTGCAATGCGCAGTGCTGGGCAACCTGTGGCTAGCCCTCAGCTTCGTCATCCTGTCAATTTGACAGTTCGCTAAATTGAGCCGAGCAAAGCAACTTGTATACGGCCGTATTCCTTGACGCCGAGGAATGTGGCGGTCCAAAAAAGTCTGAGGCATGGGCTGGGGGATCGAAGAAATACAGGGAGCTCGTACGGTTCAACGGCACACACAGAACATGGGCATCAGCAAAACACAGAGTCCACCAGTCAACTGGATCCCACCGCTGCCCCAGGCCCGGGATTGGCAAGGTTCCCGTCATAGCTTGCTGCACCTAAAGCAATTTTGTCAAACAAAAACTCCTGAAGCTGGTGGGCCCCTTTCTCTTTTTCGCTGCCAAACAATCTTAGGCAAGCGTGTGGGCGTTGCGCTGGTGACAAACCCAAATGGAAGGTTACCGACACGCAGTGACAGGGGCGACACGCCAGTCGACAGCACAGCGTTCCCTTCAAGAGTTAAACGCTACGTGCGGAAACTTCTAGTCCCATGCAGCGACATCACGCGCCCTCGTTTCACTAATTACCGAGAGATGATGCTTCGACAGAAACAATTTTGATGCACACTTGCAGGCGCATAGATCTGCAGTGCCATCGTTCTAGGCGATGGGTGTGTGTGTGTGGGCCTGGTTACGTGCGCCCGGTCCGGAACGAATGGGCTCTTTTTTCTGCAACGGGACGAGAAGGCGAGCTGCGCAGCCATCATGGCAGACCTGAGGGCGAGGCCTTCTTTGATTGTCCGCTACCACAGGGGTCACTGGATTTCCCCACTAGGCCCTAAAGTTGCAATGAACTGGTTTCCATTTAAACTGCCAGTGGTTCCAAAAAAGAGGATATGGAGGACACGCCTGGGGTCGCACGCCACCAGAGGCGTGGCCGCAAAAACAAGGGGAAGTCACACGCGTTCCCATGCAAGGGTGCTGAAGCTTGGCCCAGAACAACCGAAAATGTGACACGCACGCAGAGCATAGCATAGGTATGTGTGTAGTGTAAACCTTCATATGCGTACGCAAGGGTGTCTGTTCTGTTGCTGTTGTTGTTTGTTGCTGTTTGTGTTAGCCTAATTCCTGCAGTTCGGAGTTGGCGT